GTTTAATGTGAGCACAGAGGCTTGTCTTCTAATTATGTATAATTCAAACTAATATTCACACTCAAGGTGCTGCAAACTGTTCTGGATGCATTAGGCATGCTCTCAAGGTCATATAGGGTCTTGTCTGTTTTGGTCACATGAACACACTGAGTGGTTAGTAACTGTGTCAAGACTAAACGCCGGATAGGTAAAGAGTGAATGCACCATGGCATGAAGGACAGGATCCAGGCTTTCAAGGCGATAGATGCCTGTTAACAGACATGCCTGGGCAGGCTCTACACAGAACTGAGTTCAGGATGGCATGATCATGGGCACGTATACATGCTTACACCCACCTTCCTCCTAACACACTGTGATACGCTACATAAGTAAAAGTAATTCACGCCAGTGTGTAACGGTGGCATCCTGCTAATTATATGGAAACCAAAACAAAATTACTAACTCCCACTTTATATTGGAATGCTGATAACTGATACCAGCATCACAATGGAAGATTATCTTGGAAGCAATTTTTCTTTTGTTCTGATACCCACCTGTGTAGCTGTTTCTTGCATTTGCAATCTCTATGTAAATCACAATCAAGGAGAAATACCCTAGTGTCACATGCCTTCGTTTTCAGAGAGAATCAGGTACAAATCCACGTTAGGAGAGAGAAGAGGTTTTAAATCATAGTAGAAGGGCTCATTTTCAAGTCCCCTCTCCCAGAAGCCTAGGAGTGGGTGGGGGAGACAGGCTTCTGGTTTGCCTTGTGGCCAGGCTCTGGAGGGATGGAAGACAGAATAAATTTCCTCCCCACTCTCTCCAGCTTAGTAGCCCTTCCTTTGTGCTTTTGGTATAAGACCCTTTTTTTCCAAACCTTCTATGGTCTACATGATTCCCTTACAACAGTCAGGTTTAGAAATGTGACCCGGGCTTGGCCAAACATAGGTCTCCATCTCCCTAAACTGTGACTGGAGCAGGGAGGTGAACTCCACCCATGCCAGGGCCGGTCTCAGTCCCACCATGGGAAGGCAGAGTTTCTGTTCCCTGGTTTTACTAAGCTGAGAGGATGTAAGATTTTGGCTAAGTCTTCTTGACCCCCCAGTATGAAGCCTACTGTATCAGAAAATTAGACCAACTGCCAAGGTGAATACTGCGGGGAGAGGGAAGGGGGCTATGAGAAAGAGAAGAAAGCGATGTTAACTTCAGTGACGTCTTGGAGTCTCTACTGCCAGCTGCTCCCTTGCGGTGTCCCACCGTGCAACACAGCGCATGACCGTTTTCTACCTTCAAGGTGGAGCCTAAAGAGGACGTTTATCATGTCTTCCCACAAGACACGGGCCACCAGTACTGTGAGGCGGCATGGTCCCCGTGTTCATGCAGCTGAGAGCTGCTGCGAAGCAGCTGTTTTCTGAGACGCCAGAGGGAATAGTGAGGTGTGGAGGAAAGCAACAGGAAGTACCCTTTCAAGAAAGAGACAAGCCTTTGGGGCGAGGGATATGATGGAACTCTGGCCTTGCTCGACCCCAGGGAACATGGGACCAACTGATCCTTCCAGTACTCACTGCCAGTATCACATGTTCCCAGTCTAAAAGGAAGAAGGTTTGGCTCTTTCATTGGCTAAGGGATATTTCTGGTAGGAGATCTGTGACAAGACAGGTCACCAGGACAGCTTAGGACTTCACTGTCTGTTCTGTTAAAGCCAAGTTCTTTTGCTGGGAATTTTGGACACCTCTCAACACTGGACCTCACAGCCCCCAAGTGGTCAGACTTGTAGGAGCTGGCTGGTGCTGGGAAGAGGCCAGTCCATCTGGGTTAGCGTGTGACACCGCCAGTTGCTACCCTAGCGCTCCTGAGACTCAGTCCACATGCTGTGCTGGGGGTACAACCTATGCCATGGCTGTGACCAGCTAGATCTTCAACTTCCTCCCTGGCCTCTTTATCTTAAAAGGCAGGGCTGGGGTCGCACTGCCTCCCACACCTATTCTGGCTTTTAGTGTCTGGCCTCTCTCCATCAGCTAGCTCAGAGTCTGGCACAGCCTTTCTGGTCTACACGATCACGTGGAAGGCCTCTTGGAAGTCAGCACTGCACGGCAGCCAGGCTTGCTGCCAAATCCTATTAATCATGTGTGTTGCAATTCTCTCAGGCCTCTCCCTCTTCTCTCTCTTTTTCCCCTGCTGGAGACCAGTTTCTAGTTTGCATTACTGTAACAGCTCTGAGCCATCCCTCTCCTCCTGTCTGGTCTCCTCCTCGTCTGTCTTCCTCTGCACTCAGGGAAGCTGGAGAGATCTTTCTAATCCACGCTTCCCCACACATCACTCTGCTAATTAAGCCCTGGGACAACTCTCCATGGCTCTCAGGATAAATACCGGCCTGGTATAATACTCCCTTCCATGCGGCCCTGGCCACTTTCTCTCAGGCCTCACGAGTTTTGGAGGTTTTCTGAACTGGAGACCTCTACCCCAGGATCCTGGCCTCTTTGAGGGCGTCTTTCTCTGTCTGGAAATTTCTTTCCCATTATCTGTGCCTGGCTAATGCCTGCTGCTCTGTAGAACTGACCCCGACTTCCCCGCAGCACCCCCTGGTCTCTTGTCAAACTTGTGACCTGATTTGGGTTCCCGAAATCTTCTTTTGGTTTTTTTTCCCTGGTAATCAGAAAAGTCATTTTCCAAGCTTCCTGGGGGTTAACCTAACTGTTCTCTTCTGGGCGCAGGGAATGAACGCATGTCATATTCATGCTAGCTCACCAAGCTCCCTTGAGCTGTTGAAACTCTCCCTCTTCTATAGAAGCTTCAGGGGCTATGTGTGCTTGATTTAGTGGGATACCAACTCGGAGCAACTGGGTATAGCCATCATGAAGAATTGCTGTGTGGCTCACTTGGATTGTGATGAGTGAAGCTTCTGAAACTTCAGGGCCTATCTGTGACCCGGGCCGTGTATTACTGCTCCTGACTGATACAGTATGTGATCCTTTCCTGGTGGTACTGGCTTAACACCGTGACACTCGCAATGTCTTTGTCACCAGACCTCAAGCTCCCTTGGCAGAAGGACTCTGCTTTTCCTTTTCTCTAACCTGCATGTTCCATGGTGTTAGACAAAGACAGACACTCAGTAAACCCTTCCCTAAACGGATCAAAGATGCTCGGGCCTATCGGGTGTCAGAAAAGGAGTGAAAAGAGATGGCAAGGCTTGCCGTGGGGAGAGAAGTCCAGACCTTTCTGGACTGAGATGGACGGCTTGCCGTGGCTGCCGACAAATGTTGCTGCAACATTCCTATAAGGAACTCATGAAGTACAGAAGGGAAGGCCACCCAAGGTCCCTGAATCCACACTGCACTCAGTACCTTCCCCCCACCTTTCTTCCAGCGCTCCCCCCCACCCCCCACCGTTTCCAGGAGTTTCTTTTATTTCATTCACTAAACAGTTTATGAACTGAATTAAAACAAATGAGATGCAAATAAATTCCAGGCTTTCTCCCTCATTTTCAAATTACATTTTCAGTCCACTCAACCTGTTATAATCTCATAGTGATTTTCATTTAAGAGAGCTAAATGGATATGTGATTATTGTTACAGGAACAAACACCAGACAATTAAATGTTGAGGTGTTGATAGATAAAACTGTGTTTTGATTTGCATAAACATGATGCCAGCAAGTCTAACCCTGGAAGAAACTCAGTTAGAAGACTTGCGTGCCTAACTTCTGTTAATTACCACAAGTACCATTATTAAGAATTTTAATATTCAGAGTTGAGATTATTGCCATTTTATTTTAGGGCCACATTTATCTTTATTTTGAAAACTTAGTCAAAATGCATAACTAATTTATCAAGGAAAAGGCACGATTACTACTTATAATCAACTTCTACAGTGCAGCATATCAAAAATCAATTACACAGCCCTGAATCCAGTCATTAAGGATTTAGCCACTAATCTCATTCCATTTTTGTCTTTAGGAAGATACCGCAGCTTGCAACTTTGCAGATATCAGCAGAGGAAGAAAAACATGGGAGTCTGCTGATAACCTAATGTGGGGAATTAAACTCCAGCCAGACAAAGGCAGAATCTTAATACGGAGCGGCCTGCCTCTTCAGAGAGGTCACCTGGCTGGCTGGGTTTCAGAAGTGATGACCCAAGTTTGGCAGGTGCTCAGTCTTCCGCTCCCAGGGATCCGAAAGCATTGTTTGGACTTTGCCTTGTTCTGTGCCTGACTGTCTTCCTAGGACCTCTCTTGACCTGCAATTACCTTAGGTCTTTATTAGTCGACTCCCTGCCTGTCTCCCCTTTTGTGCCCCTTGCCCCTGGATGAGAGTGCTGGGGCTCTGCTTGTGTGACATCTACCTTAAGGACCAGCACAGGGCCCGTCTCTAAGTGCTCAGTAAACACGCTTCAGGTATGATGAAGACTGAGCTTTCTGGTGCTCATCTCCTCATCCTGGGAGAAGCGTTGTCACCACCCTAGAAGTAGGTCCCTCTGTGTGACAAGAACTGACAGGATCAGGGTCCAGAGTGCTCTCTCTATCATCTAAACAGGAAGACGTGTGGAACTGTGGCTAAGGATACTGGCCAGTGAATAAGACAGAAAGGTGGACCTGCGGTCAAACCCTGGCTTAGCCTGGAGTTTTTGCTATAATGTCCTGACGTTTAATTAGCTTCCTTGTTTCTCATCTGAGAACTGGGAGTGAGAGCAATGATCCCCAAAAGCTACCGAAAAAATTACAGTAATGCAAATAAGGTGTTTAACTTAGCGTCCATAGCATGGACATCCTCAATAGGTGTGTCTCAGTTAGTTTTTGTACACATGTCCTCAATAAGTGTGCTTTCAAAGATATAAGTTTGACCACCCGGTCAAAACTTTCTGCTTTTTTTTTTTAAACTTCCTCTTGGAATACCTCCCTGATTGCTCAGGCTGGCTGACATCTTACTTTTTGACCACACAGTGGTCTAACATCCCCTCTGCATGGGAGGAAGGGGCCCGGCTCCCTCCAAAGTGTGTGGCAGGGACCGTCTTAGAGCCACTTACCCGGAGCTTCCTCCCAAAGATGGTGACTTTGCCTTTAATCTGTTCCTTCCTCAGGCGCCACTCAATGGAGTTCAGGCCGTTCTCCATGGGCAGTGAGATGTTACAGCGCCCGATGGTGGGGGTGATGGTGCCGGCGAGGACGTGGGGCTCACTGTGGAAGCTGACAGCCATGCCGTTGGCGTACATCACCCGCAGGGTCCCGTTATTGCAGAGCTGGTAGCTGTTTCGCACTTGATCTGGAAGGATGTTGGTGGGGGTGGGGGTGGAGAGAGAGAAATTATCCACTCGATTAGTCAGGAGAGAATAGAACCCCTATTTTTACAGGTTTCCATGGTGCTTTGCAGCTGTCAGTCTGAGGCTGCCTTCAATTAGCACACACACAATGGGAAGGTGAGTAGCGGAGATGCTACTGATCCATGGGAAGGAAAACATTATTAATATGTGGCACTCCAGAAATAATTATGCCGTGGTATTTTTCTTTTACTCACTGAAGACTATTAATAGCACATTTAAACATTTAAAGATGTCTATTGCCTACACAATTTGTGTCAATCAAATCCCTGAACTTTAACATATATATTTTAGCTTATATATATATATATATATATATATATATAAAAATAAATGAAAGGCAAACTACTTCCATTTTTCCTCCCCTCTGGCCTATCATCTAACCCAAGGTTGATGCTCTAACCACAGGTCAGATGCACTGCAAAGCAAGTCCAGCATTCATCAGTACAGTGAAGAGAAAGAGCTACATTCCCTCTTTTCATGGCATCATTGCTGCCTGTATCATGATGTTACCAAAGAACTTGGGAAACGCACACAGTGTGAGGTAGATGGAGACAGTAGGGGCTGATAATGGGTGTTTATCTTCCTGAATAGAATCTACACCAGTCAATCAGACTCCTGACCTTTCCCTGTATCAAAGAATCACATGCAGGAGCCTGCTTTCATAGGCACACTGTTTCCTCATCATCCGGGTGAGGAAGCCAGTCTGGGCTAGCCTCTGAGGTGCCAGCTTTGGGGAAGTGAGCAAGGGTGTACCTGTCACTCAGTGACTCCGGCCATCATACAGAAGGACAGAATCTACATCATTAATCATCTGGCGGAGCAGAAATAGAGCCATTGAAACAGGCTTTGCCGAGGGATAATAGTCTAGAAATGTCATCATTTATCTGCCGAGACGACACTTTTATCCTCTGACAACTGGCTAGCCCACCGACATTATATCTTAATTAAAAGAAAAAAATTAATCTGCAAAATGCTGTTACTTGCCAGCCCCTGAGCTTGCCCTGGACTTCATACAACAAAAACAACGGGTGGTCAGAGACCTTGGGGATCCGGGTCCAGGCAGGAGATTGCTCAAGAGCTTGGATTCCAGGCCAAGTCAACTCAATAAAAGCATGTTTGCAAGAGAGAATCAGACTGAAACGATGAAAACAAAATTCGGTGGTGGCCCTGGAGAACAAACTGTATTTGTGACATGGGCTATATTTTTAGAGGATGAAGGAAAAAATAAAAGGTAAGAAACAGGAAGAAAGTTGTTGGGGATAAAAATCAGATGTTTTCAGATATGTTGATTTTTTCCAGGTAACTAAACCTTTGGTAAGAAGGTATGGCATTTCCCTGAATCTGAGAGATTTACTTTTATTTTATTTTCTTTTTCCATGGGACTGTTTTCTGGCAGAGTGGGTTTGCTGTAGACATTTGAGTAAGACAGAAAGCAGAGGAATGTTCTGGATGTTTTGATGTCTTCTCAGGAGAGGGATTTCTGGCTCTGGAGCTGGGGATGAGCTCAGCGCATACCTTGTACCACTGTGTAGGAGGCCTCCACTGAAGAGAGGTTGGTGATCACAGTGACGTCGTCATCACGGTTAGAGTTCTCAATGTCAATGGTGATGGATTTCTCCATCTCCCTGTGCAGGCTGGTCACCACGCCTGTGGGGCGTGTCACGTTGGTCAGACGGCCCTCATGGTCATAGCTGGAAGAAAGAAATGCCAGTTGGAAGCACATCCTCCAGAAAACTTCCTTGACATTCAGACCCTTAGGAAGTCCAGACCTACCGGGGCTGAGGAGGAGAGACCGGAGGGTAGAGGTCACCGGGTGGTGCTCTACACTGAAGCCCTGCAGCAACCCAAACCTCAGCCTGCCCCGAGGAACAACGCTGTGGCTTTCTTGTGCTCGTTGATGTCACCGATTTCAGCTCAGGGGAAAGCTGTCTGCCAGTCTCAGGCAGGGTGTGCTTAACTACCCCTTCCTGACCTGGTGGGAAGAGCTACTTCAGAGCACCCTCTGTTGCCTTTTTATGTGTCTTGCAGAACTACCAAGTCAGCGCTTCCCAAGTATCCACTCCATCGCGTCTTGTCTCTGCTGAGAAAGCCACCGTACACTTACGTAGTTATAAGTGTGTGTTGTACCCATGCCCATGAAAGCCAGAAGCGAACATAAGACCCTCTAGAACTGGAGTTACACGCAGTTGTCAGAAGCCCAATGTGGGTGCTGGGAACTGGACTTGAGTTCTCCAGAAGGGCAGTGAGTGCTCTTAATTACCGAGACATTTCTCTAGCTCTTAAGCCACACTGTTTCTCCTACTGGTTGTTCACACAATCCAAACAGAAGCTGGCATTTGAGACTGTGCAAGCCTTAGTCTTTTGCAGGGGTACCACCTCATTCTACTCATCGCCTTGTAGACCTCTCAAGTCAGCCTGGACCAAATGCTACCTCTATGTCCTTGCTAAAGCCCTACAAACCTAGCTTGGTCATGTAGTCCCAAACCAACCAAGCTCATGGACCCTAGACTGCTGGGAGACTCCCTGGACTCAACTGTCCTCACTATCCGTGTCTGACCATGCTATGATCACATTTGTTGCCTGCAAATTCCCTGAAGAGAGTTCTTTATGCATATATATTGTCTTCACCCTTTCTCAGCAGGTGGGGCTGGCTTTGCTATGTCCACAATGGAAAGCATTTGCCCTCACTAGAAGACCACTCACTGCTTTTAGACTCCTCTGACCTTAGGCGAGGAAAATGGCTCTCCCCACAGTTTGCATCTGGAAAAAGCCTCTGTGTGCTCCTGCATGGGCCCTCGCCCTCAGGAGAGATGGAGAAAGGGATAGAGCAATGAAGCCTTTGCTTAGAGAATGAAAAAGGACACACAGTTGGACCTCTGGCAGGAGGAGGGCCTCCTTCTGAACTGGGGAGAGGAAGCCAGTTGGCAGGTTCTGAGTGATGGGTCCTGGAGCTCGGATAGTACATGGGAAGGGTGTTCTTCATGGAGGAGCCCACGGGGAAGCAGTGGGAAAAATTAGTGATTAAGCATGTGAGCTGGGAAACCTGTGCTGGAGACCTGGGTTGGTCTTGGGGTGACCTGGGAAGTGCTATGTTTAGGGAAGAGAGGAAACAGCCACACCGTGTGGATGCTAAGCTGCATGGCCAGCGGGGTAAAGGTGGTTGAGGGTGACAGGAAGCTAGGGAGGGTCCAGCCTCCTGTCTCTGTCCTATCCCCTCCCTAGGGTAGTGTGCAGTGGAAATCCAGGCAGCACCTTCCCTGCAGAAGCTTGATGCTGTAAGTACAGAGGGTACCCAGGCCTTCCAAGCCAAAGGAGATCCCTTTGTTTGTATGTGTGTGTGCGTTTTTCCCATACTAAAACAGTGGTTTCTCAGATGGGAGTCCAGAGATCCTCTTTACACAAGTGACAAATTAGAACTATACTGAAGGATCAGTGATTAAAGATTATTAAATAATTACCTATACAGAAGACAGAAACCTAGGCGGCTGTCAAAATGAACAGTGTGTATTCCTATTTATTGGCACATGCGTCTGTGTGCACCAGCACACACAGAAACAGAGTTGAGTGGAAAAGAGAACAAAGAACCCTCCCCTCCTAGCATGTGAGTTTGTAAATGTAGACAAGCATCCCTGAAAAAAATACACATATAAATATTAATGGTATTTTTCTGCGTGGGGTTTTGACTAATTTTTCGCTTCTTCTTTGGATATTCTTGTATCTTAGCAATTGTAGCTTCCTTTCATAGTTTAGAAGCAGAAAGCATATGAAAGTACGAAAGTGGTGAGATGGTATTAATGTTGGGGTGTCTTGCACAGCACTCGCCTGCAGAGGTTCACAGAGCGGGGACTGTGCTGAGTGCTTCCTCTGGAACCTGAGTAGGATCTGAAGTCCAGTCCTGTGAAGTCCCAGGACACCTGTAATGGGTCGGCTGCCATCCATGCTTCTGAGAGGAGGAAATAGAGTTTCCCCTCTGGGGGAAGCAGTGGAGAGGGAGCACTGGGGGAGGTGGCAGACACCTCACAGGCGTGGGGAGAAGGCAGGCTCTCTGGCTTGCAGACTGACTCTCTTGGGGGGGGGGGGTGCAACTGCCTAATACTTCACTTGTTTTCCCCGTGACAGACGTGCAGATTCAGCTCTTTGTGCAGAAACCTCCCTGCCTCCAGGAGTAAGAGCTGTAATTGCCAGCAACGGGGCCTCAGGGTTAAGCCAACAGACTTGGTAGGACCTTTGTGGCAGGACCTTTGTGGCCAAGGGGCCTTTGACCTCTTTATAGTCAGTAGACATTCACCAAACACCTCCACGTAAACGGCTGGTGTGAGCAATGGGGGTGGGGATGAGAAGGGAATGGGCAAAATTCCATGCCTCGTGCCGATGCAAAGAGAAAGATAAATGAAGGATGTTCTTCCTTACTCTGGGAATGTGGCAGCATGGGAGGATCCCCAAAGCGCAATTCCTACATCTCTGTTTTGACTGGAACTCCAAAAGCTACCTTCTAAGACAGTGAAATGTAACTTCTGTGGAGTGGCTCATTCCGGCTTGGAAGACGGCAGACCTGCCGTTTCTAGAACATAACCGCTGAGCTTCATTCTGAGGGAAGTCAGCATCTAGACCGTGTGATACAGGCTGTTTCCCTACTGGGTGGATTTGGAGGAGGAGTTGGCCACAACTGCAAGGCACACATCACAGCTCACAGATCTGGACCCATAGAAGTGGGAATGGTGAGAGTACAAAGCAAAGCACGCATAAGACTCAAAGTGCAAACCAAACCGACAGAGAGAAGCATCCGGGAGGTGTGTGTGTTAAAGCCTTAAATCGAACGTGCTGAGAACTAAAGGTGACACACGGATGGTCCCTGTAGAGGAAAAGAGCATTGGCTGGTGAAGTGTGATCAGGTGCCAGCACCTTGAAGGATGTGAGGCTGCTCAGAAATCCCCATAGAGAGCTTAGTTATCCCCAAGAGGGAAGTCGGGGCCAGGCAAGCAATTCTGCAATGCAGGAAAGCTCCAGCAGGTGGCGACAGCTTCCTTTGCATTCTCCCAAACCCACAGGCTTTCTGACAAACAGAAAGCGAACATTGTTGATTTAAGGGTGATCAAGAATAAAGTCTTATTTTCTTGTCCCTCCCACCCCCATCTCTCTGTGGTATCCCCTCCCTAACTTACTAAATTCTCAGCTAGCAGCAACACCGAGATAGAAAGCAAGTCAGGGCTCTTAATGCATAACATTCGCTCACTGCGGTGGAGAGAGCCCAGAGGCTGGTAAATTCTGTTCAGTCTCCAGCAGGTCACTGGGGACTCAGGATTAGCAGCTTCCTCCAACCAGCAGCTCTTAGGTTAATACCTGTGGCAGCAGGCTTGCTTGACCAAAGCTGCTTCAGGAGCTAGGGAAAACAGCTTCTTCTTCTTTTTTTTTTTTTTCTCCCAAAGCAAACGGTAGAACTATTAAGTATGAGATAATTGTTAGGGGAAATATGACCAGCCCTCACATCTTTTAATATACCGAGCACTTTATCTGTATTGATCTGCTTCTGCTAAGGAGGAAATTCAGAGTTTATCTACCTGTCTGTGCAATCAAGTGTGTTGCTGGACCTATTGTTAAATCACAGGGGCCCCGCTGGGACCCTGCCTCTTAGTTTCTAATTTCCGCACCCATGGCAAACATGAATAATCAGCGGGGTTAATCAGCACTTTATCTCACAGGTGCTGTGCGTGTCCAATATCCTGAGGTTTGAGCGTCAAGCAGACAACAGGAATTCCCAGTGCTGGCGGGGAGGGTGCTCAATATCACAGGCCTGATAGAGCGAATCATTTAGGAGTCAGGAGAAGGGACGTGAATACCCCGAGGCTACAAGAAGTCATTAAAGTTAGGAAGACGTGACTAGGCAATTTTTTTTTAAAAAGCAGCGCGAATGGTCCATCCGGATGCCGCTGGAGGAGAGGGAGGGCCCTACAGAGATCGGTCAAAAAGCCTACTTACTCGTAGAAAGTCGTCCACCCAGTTTCGTCGCTCTTGGTGGCCAGGAGTCCGGTGTTCCCGTCATAGGTCATGAGGCCCAGCTCCAGGCTCTGAGTGGACACAGCTTTGAGGCCCCCGTTGGTGCCCACGGTGAGGGTGATGATCTGGTTATCGGGCATGAGCAGGTGGCGGGGCATGCCGCTGCTGTCCCGGCGGATCTTCAGGGAGTTCCCGCTGTTGTCGATCAGCTCCGTGACGTCGTTGTCGGCGCTGTACGTGAAATTGTACAAGTACTCCCCCGTCACCAGGCTCACAGTGTACTGATGGATACCGTCGGCGTTGAACACGTACAGCTCCTGCTCCCCCGGAGACGCGGCCTCGTACTGGTTGAACGCATTAAGCACGGGTTTGTTTTTGCTCACCGCCCGAATCCGAATATTCCCGAGGTCTGCGATGTAGATGGTGCCGTCCGGAGCCACGGCTAAGGACGACGGGGAGTTTAAGATGGCGTCCGTGGCGTAGGCATCGTCTCCCGAATAGCAGATGCAGTTGACGTCATTCTTGCAGTCGCAGTCCGAAGCGGCCCCGGCTAGCAGGCAGATCTCCCCGTTGGTGGTAACCTGGCGCAGGCGGTTGATCTTCTTCTCGTCCGTCTCGGTGATGTAGAGCACCCCGGTGTGAGAGATGGCGATGGCACTGGCCGACTCCAGAGCGGAGTGGATGGCCAGCTTACTGAGTGAGTAGTCAATGCCGGGCACCTGGCAGTGCATGGGCCGTCCCGCAATGATGCTGACCTGGTGGTTCTCGGTGATCCGCAGGATGACGTTGTTCTCCAGAACGTAGAGGGAGTTGTCCATGGGGTTGACGGCAAGGTCTGTTGGCCACTCCAGGCGAACCTGTACATGACACGGCATTTCAGGAAAGGCCTCTAGCGCACTAATTTTATGCATCTAGGAGAAAAGACTTTAGCTATCAAAACACTTTGTGTCTGCCTGATGGGAAGAGAGCAGAAGCATTAGCTCCCCTGGAACTGGAGTTATGGATGGTTGTAAGCCACCAGGTGGGCGCTGGGACTCCCACCCAAGTCTTCTGCAAGAGGAACAAGTTCCCTTAACTGCTGAGGCATCTCTCCAGCACCAACTTAGCCTTTAAGGAGCAAGCTGTACAAGGACTGCTCATCATTGAACCATTTGCCTGAGCTGGCTGTTTATGACAGAGAAGAGGGGAGCATGTGACAAGCTCTTCCTTCAGTTTCATCTGTCCTGACTCGATCCTGCCAGCTCTGTGCACAACACTGTTTCTCAGCTTCCAGGGCTGCAGTCATCAAATGCGGTTGTACAGGTAGATAAATGCCTAAGGGACCAATGCAGTTCAGCCCACAGTCAGCTCCACCAGCCATGGGTCAGAGAAGGCTGTGTTCATTTAGAGAAGACACATTTGTCTAACTTGCAAAAAGGCAGCCATGTGGCTTGGAAGGTGGCCCTAGCCAAAGAACAGACAAAGAACAGGCTGGCTAACAAACTACAACTTGAGCTTTTGGAAAAAAGAAATGAACAGAGCCAAGTCAAATACATTCTTCCTCTGTGGAATTTGAAATAAAAATCTCGGTAGCAACTTGTCAGTTTGTTGGGGAATTTGAACTAAAATTTATAGGTTGACCAAGGGTTGAAAAGATTCTTACAGGCAGGGTGAGTGTACGCTCTGGCTTCTTTGAACAAACACTGCACATTTGAGGAGCCTGTGGTCTCTGCCACTGTAAGAGTCCTGATAAAACACACTCTTTGGAGGATGATTGAGGAGGGCTTTGCTCTAGTAACTACTACACAAAGTGGAGGTTTATATAGCGAAGATGCAATCATTCCAGATTAACAGGGAAGCTCTGATTGACATGTAACACCAAACCACACAGTCTCAAATCTTTGAGAATGGTGGAGACGAGAGATAATTACACAGCAGCCCCTACCCTATAATCTGCCACTGCTAGAGCCTGCCACCAGCGTTGCTTCTCAGAGAAGAATCACCCTCTCTGTTTCTCTCTCTCTCTCTCTCTCTCCCCCCTTTCCTCTACCCCAAGTTTGTCTTCTCTTTATTACTTCTTTCCCCCTTTCTCTCCTCCATTTCCATCTTGCATTTTTCATATGGATGTCTAGTTTACCTTGATTCTTCTCCAAAGTAACAGAGATCTGTGTTCACAGCTCATGTTCCCAACTCACACTGGAACATGTGGGAAACATGGGCTAAAACCCAGGAGTTGGTTAAGAATGAGTCCCCACCTGGGCCACATCCATGCTGGAGTCACAGCTCAGTGGCCGTACAGCTGTGAGGTCATTGGAGCCCAGCAGGGTGGAGATGATTCCATTCTGGTCGACCTTCCGGATCATGGTGGCGTCAACGAAGTACATAAGCCCGTTCTTGTCCACCGCAATCCCTAGAGGGGAAAGCATGAGGATTTTGTTTGTTTGTTTGTTTGTTTTGTTTTTGACAGGAGGATGGTTTGTGGAAGAGATGGGGGATGCCCTACTCTGGGCATGATATGCTTGGACCAGGGACCTTACTGGGATGGGTAAGCATCCTCAGAACACTAGATCTCAGTCCTTTCTTTAGAGGCAAACATTTCTCAAGGACACTGCACTGTGATGTGCATGATTCCCAGGGTGCTAGCTGTGTCCCCTCCAACCAATGACATCACCCTGAACTGCAGAAGAACCAAAGCTGCTAGTGAATGTGGAAACAGCCCTGACTCTGCTCTCTCTGGAAAATGAGTTATTACCAAAGTTCATTGCTCTAAAAAAAAAAAAAAAGATTGCAAGTGTATTACTCAAATACCCTTCATGACTAATTGTGACAATGAGGCTGAGAAACAATGAGGCTTTCAACCACAAACTCCCAGTTCAAAATGTATCCTCCAGGAAGAATTCCCAATTAAGCCTTGACTCCAATCAGCACTCCCGTGCCCCCAGGGGACACAGAGCCCTAAGGCTGCAGCTTCTATTTCTTTTGCGTTTTCATTTCAGTGCCCAAGTACAAGGCTTGGCATCCTTAATCCATGCTGCAGGCTGCTTGCTCAGTAGCTAAAAATGCTAACAAGAATTAGGCCCTGATATGATTACTCCTTAACCCCAAGCATCTTCGGTCCTTTCAAATAGATACTCATCAATTCCAAGAACTCCCCAGGACAGGAAACATGGCAATAATGCCCATGTTTTTTTAAATTTCATTGTTTAGTTAATTGTGTGTGTGTGTGTGTGTGTGTATGTATATGTACATATTTGTATCTGTGCACATGCGTGTGGAAGCCAGGGGTTGATGTTGGGGTGTTCTTCTCCTTATTTTTTGAAATGGGGGGGGGTCTCACTGAACCTGGAACCTGCCTATTTCTTGTAACCAGGGATATCCCCCTGTCTCTGCCTCTCCAGAATAGGGGTTATAGATATGTACCGCTGTGCCTGATTTTTTTTTTTTTAATTTAAGAGCTGGGGACCTGGCCACAGGTCTTTACACATGTGCCACAAACACTTTACTAAGTAAGACATCTATCTACCTAGGCCTTTTCCGATTCATATTCTCTCTCTCTCTCTTTCTCTCCCCTCCATCTCTGAAGCTCAAGGACAATTTAATTAAGAGTTTAAAAGAAAAATACCCAAGGCAGGCAAGTTGTAAAGCTCAGCAGCTGCCTGGAGGAGGAAGATTGGAGAACAGGAGGAAGCTATGCTACTTAAATTAAGCCAGCATGGAGGCCAGCCACATGCTAGACAAACAGGCACTTGGCAGGGAGGGGAGCTTTAGAGAAAGAGTGAAAGAGCCCAAAGTATCACATAGTCACTTAGGCTCTGGCCAGCTTCTGGAAGAAAAAGACAGAGGATAAGAAAAAGGGAAAGCTACATCTTTCTGAGTCAGGGCTCGGAAAGACAGCCAGGCTCAACAGAGCCTCCTGTAGTGCCTGCACCAGGGGCTGGGAATTCTGGGAATGGAAAGTACACCATCTCCTTAAAGGGCCAGCTATTCCTCCTGTCCCCTTTAGTGTGGCTTGTGGTGAACCCAACTTTCTGGGGGAGAGTCGCTTGGCCAGGAGAGCAGCTGGATCAAGTGGGTTAATTTAAGGAAGGGCATGGGCATGTGTCTATCTAGAGCGTTGGGGTTGAATGACCCTTTCACAGGGGTAGCCTAAGACCCTCAGAGAATATAGATATTTACATCAGGATTTGTAACATAGCACAATTACAGTTATGAAGTGGCGACAAAACTCAGTTTGTGGTCGGGGGGGTGGTGGTGTCACTACGACATGAGGAACTGTATTAAAGGGCCGCAGCATTGGGAAGGTTGAGAGCCACCGATCTTGAGATAGATGGCATCCTTTTGGTTAAGAGGGAAATGTCCTGCCTCACTGAGGACTCACGCCTCAATTCTTAAGGGCTACGGTTTTCTTGGGTATTCACAACATGACTCGCACAGTGCCTCAGACTTTGGATATACTACTGTCTAACATCAAAGTCCGGCACAGTGGAAGGCCCTGGGCTCGGCTGTGTCTCCGGCACCTTGGGCTGGTGCTCTGACAGGTGGAGCTAACACTGTCTTCCGGTTCTCTCTGACTGGCAGCAGTCAGAGGTCTCCAGGTGCAGGGCTACTATACCATATACGTGGGTGGTAAAGTTTACTTAATAAGTGAGCTTGAAAGCACCGTCACAGACGGTTTTTAGATTACATGGGTTTATTTAGCTTGCAGCAGGGTGGAGAGCTCTCTCCTTCTGTGGTCTTTACCTCGAGGGCTCATCAGGGTTGCATCTATAGCCTTCCCTCCGTCCCCACAGCGGGCTTCATCGAAGGGTAGACATTGTTCACCGGTCCCTGCCACAACTTCCGAATTCCCAGCCAGGTCTTTGGCCCCGCTCAGAGACTTGACACGGTAGATTCTGCGGCTGTTGGTGTCAGAGACGTAGAGCGAGCCAGTCACAGGGTCCACAGCCAAGTAGTACTTGTGTCCTGGGCTGTTGCTTTAGGAGAAGCACAAAGAGAAAAGAGCATGGGATTATGCAGCTGGCCTCTTGGGTCGGAGGTGACAAAAATCCTAGCGACACTCTTACCTTCTCTAGTGTCTTTCCATTTTAGTGAATTAGTGATGCTCTGAGATATATTTCAACACATCGTAGCTCTCAGATACTTATGATTAGGCTTAAGCTTCTCATGCTATTTCAAGAGTTGAGGATTCCCATCAAACCAACAGAATGTTGCTTCATTTAACTGTCACAAAAAAACCCCATTCCACTCCTTTTGTAGTGAGCAAGGACATTCACTTGATGCCCGCTTCTTATATTTCCCAGGGGCTTAGCGTATTGTCTCAAGGGATTTAGGAACCCATTCTCCCTGTGACAATGCTCTCTTTTTCACTAAGCCTCCACAAGACCTCCAAGGTCACGAACACCGGAGCAACCTGGAAATTTCTAGGCTTATGATGACTAGTTCCTCAGATCCCCGATCCTTGGCCTTAGAGCTGATTCTTTCCTAGCATCTATGCAAATGAAACTGGCATTTACTGTAAAGGGTAGTTATCTTGCCATCCTGTTCAACATTTCCCCTTGAGCCTGACCAAACCAGCACCTGGCATCTGAATTACCAAGGGAGATGTAGCTTTCTTGTGCTGGGTGAACAGCAAGGTCACAGGTTTGAATCCTGAACCTCCCTGTGTATTAATCTCTTAGGTGTGTGGAGTAGATCAGGGGGCTGTGGGGCCCCGGGACCTGTATGTGTCCTCTGGCATGCCTCTTAGTGTCCTCCGTGAGCCTGGCCAGGATGGAGCAAGACTCGGGGAACTGGTCCAGGATTAAGACACAGGATGTGTGACTCAAACCCGGTTGAGGACCTCAGGCCAGTCTTTCGGCAGCAGTGGGCATCACCTCTCTTACTTGGGAAATGACAAAATCAAATATCCTTCCTAACGGTCCTTCCGGGTCAAAAGCCTACAGGTCTCCCTTTTGCGATGTCTGCTTGTCATGGTGGCTGGGACAAGAGTGAGTGCTCACATCCCTCCAAGGTTGATCATTCCAAATTCCCCATCTACTGGGGGTAGTGGTGGGTGCTGCTTTCTGACCCAGTGGGCGGAGTCCATGTACCTAGAAGGAGTGAAGGCCTTTTTGTCCTGATATTTTTCAATTATACTGTGGAATGATGGGAGGAGAAGGGTTGGAAGAGGTGAGGGGAAAGTGAGCGTGGTAGCAGTTGGTGTCAGATGCATTTGTCCTGTGGACATTAGCTGGTAAATTACTAATTAAAACACTATCATTTGGGTTCTTGCCTGATTAAAAAAAAAAGAGTTGGGAAGCTATTTTTAGGACCTATTTGTGAGTCGAGGCCATCTTTAATTCCTGCCTCTCTTCAGGTTGCTATTAAGACTGATAATTGAACTGGAAGTCAAGGTCTTTTGAAAGAGTAGGCTTCTTTGGGTTCTTTTCTTTCCCTTTCTCTCTCCCTTTGTTTTCTGCCCTCCCCACTTTTTGGCCAAGTCATTAGAGAATATCTATATATGCAAAACAAATTAGGGCAGAAAGAGAAAAATCCATGCCATTTTTTAATTAGATGCTTCGCCCTCTTACTAAATGAACAGTAGCTGGCATGATCCTCAGGAAGATCAAGGCACTGCACATCTGTGCCTATGTATGAGCGAGATAATTAATTCTGGACTTTCTAGGGAGCCCGATCTGAGGAGGCTTTTCTGAATCTCTGGCATAGGAGCTGACAGGTAGGGTTAGCTGTTGCTTCAGGAGACCATTCTTCAGGTAGCCCATCCTCTCTCTAAACCATGAGTCTCAGAGAGCAGCGCAGGAACAGTGGGAAGCCATGCTCCCTATCAGGGAGGAGCAAACATGGTTGGTCTGTGGGTTTCAAGGAAGAGAGAGTCTTTAGGGGACATTTCTATTCTTTGAAAGAATTTGGCTGCATTGGGGTGTCTATAACCAGCCAATTTTGAGGGTTTCAAGATTATGAAGGTAGAAAACTTTTTTTTTTTCCTTACCTACCAATGGCTGTGCCTTTGACTGTAATGATACCAGGCATTTTGATTCTACTTTTTGTTCAGTTCTGACCTACTGTTTCATGGTTGGTGTTTCACAGGGTGGAGACAACATTCATTAAGTTGCCCCTTTCCTTCCCTCCAAAAACTAAGAGCATTTTTTCTATCAGAATAGTCATGCGGTGTCCATTTCACTGTGGTGCTCGCGTGCATGCACATACATACGTGTTGTACATTTGACATGTGAATTCTACCAATATGATTTCAAATAACCTTAACCAGCACAGTCACAGAAGCCTTTAGACAAAAAGTACTTCATCTACACCTTTCATACTACTGAAGGGTGATTTAACTTTATAATAATTCTCAGTATATGTAACTGTTGCGTTCATTCTGACCAGCAGAATGGCAATTAACTTGTGTTGTGTGCGTATGTGCGTGTGTGTGTGTGTGTGTGTGTGTGTGTGGTGTTTAAATGACCACATATCTAGGGGAAAGTCATTAATGAGTTGAAAATGAGTTTTTGACCCGTTTCCAGTTCATTAAAGCTTTTGTGAACCCAGTCCAGCATTTACAAAAGCCCGAAGTTTGCCTCAACTGTTTAGCTCAATTATGGACCACACTGAGCAGCCGGGACAGAGGTTCGCTGAGGGTTCATTATCGCGCTCTCAAATCTCCCAGAAATTCTAATTACTGTCAGCTTATTTGGTTGCTTTTTGACTGCATTTCATAATTGCAAAAGCTTATCATACCCACAACACACAATTAGCACATAAAAAAGTTACTGTATTTGGTACATAAAAATATACAACATTACACAAGAAGCACAAAACAAGAAGGCGAACACAAGGAACAAACGAACCATAGCAAATTATATGGGAAAGAGTTCTTCGTCTTACCTATGTTTAAACTCTTTATTTCTTTATAGAAAGAAAACAGAAGGAAAAAAGAACAAACAGTTAGCTGAGGAATTGATGATAACGCAAACATAACATTTTTCTTTTGTTTGTTTCTCATATAAAGGACCACCCCCCAAAGGCAATCTTTTTATTTTTTTTCCCTTTCTAACTGACAGTTCCTGGCTCAATTATCTGGGAAGGATCCCTGAGTTTAGACTCCTCCTGGCCACTGGGAAATATGCACACGATGCCTGGATTCTCTGACAGGCAAGGTGGCTGTTGTGGGATACAGGTAGCAACAGGTGAGACAGGACTTCTGGCTGATGAAGTGATGGCAGATGGGTTGCATCTCGTGGGGGGGGGGGGGGCGATACCTGTTGACTAGTAATGGCTCCTGGGAGTGTGGTGGTAGAAAGTTTCTGAAGCCAAACTCAAGCTCAGCTGTCAAGAACTCTGTGATTGATTTGTAATGTCTGTTCTGGATGTGGAAGGAACATAGTTAGACTTGTGCTGCTGATTGCTATTGGTGTACTGAGGGAAGAATCAGGACCACCTAAAGAAGGGAACCTCGGCTCATACCAGCGGCAGCATGGCAAAGGCCTTGCCCCCCTCTGACTCACCAAACCATTTTCCACCCCTGCTCCATGCCTCCTTCCCCATTTCATTTGCATGAGCAGCACACCCTTGCAACCCAGATTCATTTTTTTTTTTCTCACTGTAGCAGCCAATACTGTGCCCATTCATGAAATTCACAGGCAATACTATCCTCTTGTAATTGGAACCAGAGACTCCGGTTAGCACACCATTTAGGAGAGTTAGAAAAAAAAAGTTGGTTGTTTTTTTTTTTTTTTTTTCTTTTTTTCTTAAAGAACAAAAGACATTTCAATTTCAACAAGAGACTGGCTGAACTGTAGCATTCAGGCAGAAGAAGTGTAAGTGTTTCAAGTAAGGAAACCCACTCCCAATTCCTGAGGCTTCTAGGGCCAGGTAGAAGGGGCCCTGGATTCTCTTTCCTTCCAGCTGAGATATGAGGTTTGGGGACAGGGACAAGGGGAGTTGGATGCCCTGACTCCTGAGGTGCCCCTCCAGCCTCTGTTTGTGGGGACGGGTATCATTAGTGAGAGGTTTGCACAGAGATTACACTTTTATATTTTATTCTAACGTGTTAGTTTTTGCAAAAAAAAAAAAAAAAGTTAATTAAATGATGCTGATAACTCCTGAGCTCTGACTGACATAGTGCAATTTAAGATTCAGTCTGTAAAGCCTGGTGTGTCAGGGTGGCAGCCGGGGATTCTTGCATCTATTTTATATTGCTTAATGAAAGTGAAATGCTATCTGCCACCAGTGGTAGACACATTTGCCTCTTAATTATTGCAATATCAATTTCATTTTTTTTTTAACTCAAGATTTTGTGGGAAGACTGGATGGGATTTGGGTCTACAGTTCTGACCTACTTCTTTTCTAAGACCATCTGCTTTAAGTTGATTACTATAATATTGGTGTTGGGGGAAGAGGACGGGAGGGGAGGGGGATCGAGGCATAGGAAGGTGTGGAGTTTAAAAGATCATATGGATATGAGCTTTGGATAAAGGCTGAAGTCACTGTACTTCCAGGCCAGGGTAGGCAACAAGCCAAAATAACATCATCATTTAGTCAATCCGTGTAAATGAGGGCAGATGCCCTACTTCTGAGGGACAGGCTTACACTTTGTGTTCACATCCTCGACAATTCAGACCCTTCAGGCACACCCTTTGAGGGGAAAGTGGCGTCTCAAATTTAAGGAGCTGAGATGAATTAGCATTTCACACCACAGAGTCCCAGAGTCCTCTGCGAAGGCTTCAGGGCCTCTCCCAGCCTCCTCAGCCTGCCTCCCAGAGCTGTCATCACCCTGTCTTGTGATTTATGTGTGTGTGCTTGTCTTTTCCACCTCTTTGAGAGCAGGATGAGACTTACACATTTCTGCATTGCTGATACTTTAGAGAGAGCAAGGACTGGGAAAATAAGTCTTTGAGTGCAGAGAGTGCGGGATGAAGTTACTTTTCCCTTTGCTGTGGACTGGCAGCACTGTCCTATGTTCCGTTTAGAAGTTTGTAGGTACATACAGTTGAGAGCACTGTGAACCTTGCCTTGTATACTTTGTGTCCTCTCTTTTCCCTTTCAGGGAGAGTGGAGTTGGGTTGGACATAGTTTTATTGTTGCTGCTTTAAGCACAGGGAGATTAATTTGGGACACGTTTAGTTGAATTTTAGAGGGATGTGCTTAGGTGGTTTGTAGTACCTTCAGCATCTAGGTAAATTATTGCAAGCCATTCTGTCATAAGAATGGCTTTTGGGAATGCTCCTGCCCTACTGTGTTGATTCATGTAGCATCCTTGTAGGGCGTGTGAGAGCCACTGCAGAATTCATCCTTCATGGTTATATGTACATTGGTGACAAAATGATTAATGAGCACCAGTTCAAAAAGCATTACAAGAAAATGTGAAATGCCCAGAAATATTACAAAGGAAACTTGATAGAGGTTTCTCTAAATTTTATACTTCTTACAACTTATATGTTATCAACAACCATCTGTGTACACAAGCAAGTTTTTTTTTTTTTTTTTTTTTTTTTTTGCTTTGTTGATAATCTGAAACCAATTTTGATTGGTTATATTGGAGGAAAGACTTATCATGTCTGTTCTAGAGATAACAAAATCAGAAAATAACTGTCACATAAAAAAATAATCAAAGAGGAGCTGGGTGTGGTGGCACTAGGAGGTAAGGACAGAAAGACGAGGAGTTCATGGCCATTCTTGGCTAAACAGCAGCAAGTTCAAGGCCAGCCTGGGCTATGAGGCCCTGTTTCAAAAACCCCCAACCAACAACAAAAACCCCAAGACAAAACAAATAAAAAACAACAACAAAATTATCCGAAGATAATCAAAAGGGTATGGGGAAAAAAAAATCAAGTATCACAGAGACTGAATAGAGGTCAAGTCAGACAGATATCAGACCATCAGAGCTTTGTGGTGACCACACTCACTGTGGCTTTTAAAAACTTGCCATTTTCCCCCTCATCTTCTATAACATTGTTTCGTTTTTCATTTACTGTCATCCAAGCACTAAGTAGACCTGAACTTTCTTAGCTTCTAAATCCAGATGAGATTCAGGGCCATCAGGGTAGTATACTGGGAAATTCTCTTTTTCTTAGTCAAACTGATCATTTATTATTATTTAACTATTATCATTATTGTTGTGTGTGCATGTGTGTGACACGTGTCTGCATGTGTGATGTGTGTGAGTGCAGGCGTGCACATGGCACAGAATGTTGGCGTAGAGGTCAAAGGATCACTTTTGGAGTTGGTTCTGTCCTGCTGTGGGTTCTGGAGAACAAAACCCAGGCCCTTGGTTTGTGCAGCAAGCACTCCTGTTCACTCGCCCTCCTCATCGGCACTCCCTTTTCATTTTCAACTCGTAATCTGCATATCTTCCTTTTAAGAGGGAACGCCTAAAACTGCGTTAGCTTCCAGTCCCACAAGCTGTCTGTCCTTGGTCAGCGGGCTTTGAAAATAGAGTCAAGGATTAGCGCAGATTGGTTGGAGACAGGGCGCTTATGACTGTTCTGGGTTGGGGACTTTGCTCTTTTCCTGACGCTCATCTTCCCAGCTCACAGGAGGGAAGCGGCTGCCTTCTCTAGTCATGCTGTCCATCCTCACACTCGGTGGGACGGGTCCCTGTCTAGCTCTCAGGTCAAGCTTGTCTTTGGAGACGTCCACTTCCAGCATCTGTTGCTTGTGCCCTCCTGGCCAGGCTCCCGCTCTGTCCGCATCTCTGCCTCCTCCGACACTAGGACATCTAAATTGGACAGTTCCCCACTGTGAAGATAGGCCCTTGTGCAGTTCTGCCACAGGCCCACCCAAAAGCATGAGAAGCAGGCCTCCGTTGGGGGTGATCTCCTCAGGGGGAGAAACACACCGGAAACATTAATACCTTTGTTTGGAAAATGGAAAAGGATTTCAAACGTTACGTTACAAGGGGGCTATCTCAAGAGACATTGGAGAGATTCTGCCCCAGTCTTGACTGTCGCATTGTGGGGTCTAGTTCTTAGATGCTTTCAGATTGGAGAGCAAAGGATTTATCTTTCAGAGAAATTCACCCTAAGGTGTCAGTGGCTGATGAATTTACTCTGCTCCAGAGCGTTTTGGTTTCCCATGGGCCAGGTGGAGAGGGTGATAATTACAGGAGGGAAAAGCATCTCCTAAAGATGGGATATTAGACTCCTCAGGGAAGTGGGTGTTGAAAATGTGCTAAATCAAAGCACACAGGTGATAACCATTGTACTCTTTCCAGGACTGGAAGTTCCTGGAGTACAGGGACCTCCGGCCTGCAAGCTTCGTACAGGCAGAAGTGGAGGAAAGCCTAGCGAGGACCATAGTAACACTGCAATAGCATCTTGACTGGGAGGTGGGGCCTTGGGATGGGTGAGCAAGGTAGGGATGGGTGCGACTCCAGAATGGAATCACTCAGATGCCAAGCCACAATGGAGAAAAGACACAGGCAAGACAGGTCTCTCCCTCTTTCCTCCCCCCTCAGTGGGTGACTGTTTTGAAGAAAGGGGATTGACAGCCCTTTGTTTTCAGGCATGTAGTGGGGAAGAAAAGAAGAATCAAGTCAGTGTTCTTGTAAAAGCTTAACTTCTAATCGGCTCCGGGTTACTGGATGATGAAAGCAAGAACAAGTTTGAAGACAGTTAAAGAAAATGGTTGGTGGGGGGTGGGGGATGGGGGGTTGGGGGTGGGGGGAGGGTGAATCACACAGCTATTGAGGGAGATTGGGAAGGATAGCCCTCAAGCTGCCCTTGGTGTTACCACATGGGCATGCTACGTTTTCCTTTGATTGGGCCGTTAGCTTTTACCATTGGTGTTTGCGCTCTCTACAGTTTGAGAGACATGGAACCAGAGGCGAGGAGGGACTGGTTCTTGAATTCAAGCACCCATCTTGAACACCTAGGACTGGCTGGACACACTGCTCTAGGAATAACAGGGCAAAGATGACCAAGGTGTCTGGAGTACAGGGGTACACATGCCCAAGCCTAAAAAGCCACACAGAAATAGCCAGACAAGGTAGCAAGTAGTGTTAGCTTGTAATGGAGAAGTAGAATGTTACTCTTTCAGAGGAGGGGGAGAAGTTTCTTCTAGGAAGAGGGGACTTAAGAGCAGAACCAACAGGCAGACAGGAAGAGGCTGCCTAGATTGAGTGGATGTGTTGAGTTGAGCAGCTGGAATGAATTAAGATTTGGAGGTGGGAATGTACCAGGTCAGTACTGATTAGCTCTGAGCAGGAAGAGCCCTGACAGAGGAGGAAGTATGTACTTGGAAGATAAAAAATGGCCCTTTAAATAATCCAGTCATGCATGGAAAACACAAAGCAACCACTGCCACTGTCTTCCTCCAAGCCTCTCCAGTGCCTATAGCATGCCTGAGAAGAGGATGGCTTTTCCCGGACTAAAATAACAACAGCAGCAGCAGCAGCAACAACAACCATAAACCAGTCTCAGGAAGGGGATTTCGCTGGGAAGGTCTGGAGAGAGGCCTGCTGAGTGTCAGTTTGCAGTCCCTTCACTGGGCCTATGTCTTGCTCGCTCTCTGCTCATGCACGACACACTTCTGCCTCTTGTACTTCACGGCCTTGTGCGCTCTGTTTCTGTAATGGTTTCTTTAGCTCCTCAGCTCAGCTTGAAGTGCATTTTCTTCTCCAGGTGCCCACCTTTACCCTCAGCGGGATGTTTCTTGAGCCCACATTTCATCTCTCCTGTCCTCACAGAGATACACATGAGCCTAACACTACTACTCAGTAAACATCCTCCAGATGAGGGGATGCAGCGATCTCAGAGGAAAACAGCTGCGCCTCCCCTCCCCCACCATCCCTTATACATTATAGATATATATCCCTTACAGTGCCTGGCAGAGTTTTAACTCCTGAGAATATTAGCGGTAGCTGCTGGTGGCCAGGTCACCGATGTGTCTCTCAGCAGGGTCTGTGAGGACAATGATTGCTGACTTGATTGGATTGAGAAGTGCCTAAGAGATTAGTGAAGCAAACCTCTCCCTGTGTCATGAGGGTGTTTCCAGAGATGAATTTGTCATGAGGACGCTGATCTAACGAACTGCTTAATCCACTGATGAATTGAAAACCGCAACAACAACAACAACAAAAAAACCCAACAGAATAGACTACAGAATAGCAGTGGCACTGTGGAAGGTGCTGCCTGGAGGAAGCAGGTTAGTGTGGCAGGTGTGTGAAGGCTCTCTTGCTCTGACCCTCTCCCCCCACCACGTCTGACCCCTACCCCGCATTGTGGTTCTGCCTGGCTTCCTGTCTGCCATGGTGCGAACTGCTTTGCCACATCCTTTCTGCCAAGACAGATCTACTGCTCTGAAACCTTGAGCCAAAGTCCCTCCCGATATCTTGTTCTGTCAGGTCATTTGCTCGCATTTAATGGACACAGACATTCGATGCAAGCATGACTTGTGGCGTCTTCATCTTTCATATGATAGCTGAGGGCATTTCGAAAGGACCACCGGCCACAGGGTGACTCAGGCCCCCAAATCCTAGGGCTAGCTCTCAAATCCTCAACTCTCTTCGACTCCCTCTTCCCCCCCCCATCTCTCCCTCTCTTCATTCCTTCTCACTCATCTGGTTTAACTGGAAGACACATCTCGACTGGAACATTTCCATATATCCCTTCAGCGCTGTCAAATCACCAGACCCCAAATAGTGGGCCACTGACACGGCCTTCCTGTGGATTTTCCTGCCCTCGCCCTGCATTCCTAGAGCCCATTTCCCACACACCAGCCAGAGCCATCTCCTAAAAATGGCAGTCAGACATTTGTCAACTACATCTACCTTCTACTTTAACCTCTCGTGGCTGCCCACTGTAAAAGAAATGCAATTTTCGCTTGTCTACATGCAAGCAGACACTTGTTAACCCAAAGCGTAGGTCCCTTCCTTACCTCTCTGGGTTCCTGATGCTCTTCTGAGCCCACCAGCCCCCCAGTTGCATTAGACTTCTATGGGTTCCTTCAATTAGCCAGATTACTTACTGCCTGAAAATGGTTCTTTTTTATTTTGTGCCTGGAATTCTTTCTCTTAGATGTCCTATGGCTAACGTCATCGTCATTCATAGCCCAGCTCAGATGCCATCAGTAGGAGAGGTTTCACTGTCTGTTTTGTGCTTTGCAGCCTTCTTATTGCCCCTTTCCACCACAGTTGGTATGTCTCACTATGCTGGATTTTCCTTAAAGCACTCCTATCTATTTGAAATTATTATTTTTTCACTTTCCCACATGATTCAATTGGAAGCTCCCTATTGGATCATGAACACAACATGGGGACAGAGTGTACACTCAACGGTTATTTGTTGATACTCCCCTCACCCCCCATTTGCTCATTTACATCCTTCCCCCTCTTTGTATACATCCTCCTCTGGCTGAGGGTGTGGAACCAACTCTCCTTAGAAACGTATTTTAAAGAGCGTTTAGGAGTCTCTGTTTTCCCAACACCGAGGAATCTAGTCTTCAGACTTAGTAGCAAGCAATGGCCAGGAGGAATCTTCCAGGATGGTATGAAGCAACCTAGTCTGGCCAGGTGCCAGTGTGTTACATTGCATACTAGTAAGTACAAAAAGACCCAGGGGATTCACTGAAGGGGGCAGCACCCAGAGGTGCCTGGCAAAACCTTCAGAATGAGAGATGGAGCATTAGTGGTCCATCTGATGTGTATCTGAGGCTGCAACTGAGTTTTTAAAAAAATGAGACATTTAGCTCCTTTCTGGGTTACGGACCATCTGCTACCCTTGTTTGAGGCTGAATTGCTGACAACTGTTTCAAATACGTGGATGCTATTTTATAGGTAATCAAAACATTTCCCATCCCGAGGACCCCAAATTCGGCCATCCTTCACCCAGAAAAACCCGCAAGCAAAGAGGATCCCAAGAGCAGAAGTTTTCTGGTGTGCCATTTACCGTAACTCCAAGATACTGGTCACATTTCGAGAGGGAAAGATGCGCCGGATGTAATTGAAGTCACCGACAAAGAGGCTCCCGTCGATCCCCACAGCCAGGGCCACGGGGGCCAACAGTTTGTTGCCTTCGGCGAGGCCGTTGCAGCTGGGACAGGAGATGCTTCTGCGGCGGCCATTACCCATGATGCTAGTGATGATGGCGGGCTGCTGGGTCAGGAACTGGTTCTCTCCCGTGCCCTTGTGTAGTATTCCTGGGGGAGGGAGGAGGAGCTGGGGAGTCACACAATCCTGCTGGGAGGACACTTGGGTTGACCTACTGAATGGGTGGGCAGTAATAGCAAGAAAAAGAAAAAACAGGAAACCTCTCCTTTGAGGAGCCTTCCAATGTCCTCGTGATGCAGGGAGAACAGCAGTGGGAGACCCACTCCTGAAGCTGTGATGTGGGTAGGACACTATCTGAAGAGATACCAGAAAACAAAACCAAAAACGAAGCCAACGATGTACAATAAGGATGATAAACCGAGATTGGCCTTGAAAGGGAAAAATGAGGAAATCTATGAATCTGGGAGGTATTTGATGAAAAACAAAACAAAACAAAACAAAACAAAACAAAACAAAACAAAACACCTGAGGAATGGGCTACCACTTAAATGTCAATGCTAGAGACACTAAACCAATGATTCACTTTAGTTCTGATTATTATTATAGTAATTATCATTAGTTTTGTGCTGGGCAGGGATGGAACCAACGACTCCATTCATTACCATTAAGAACCTTCCCCTAGTCCTCTAACATACCGCTTTTCACATTGAGGATGTGATGCTTGTCCAGGGACCAGCCACCAAGGTTGGAAGGGTCCAGCTCAAATCCTTGAAGCAGGGCTGTCCTTTTCTCCCACAGGATGAGACTGGGGCACGTCTCATATTCAAACCCGACAGACACTGTAAAACAAAGGGTTCGGGACAAAGGGGGAGAAGAGGTGAATGAGTGCTTTGGAGCTCCTTAGCAAGAACGAGAAACACACGCAGGGATATCTGTTACGAAAAGTTGAAGGGGCGGCTGACAGCTTTGCTCCCCAGGATTTCGTCCTACAAAATCCAGAGTTTTGAGTTGAACTCAACTTTGAAACTTTATGCAGTGGCCTTGGGGAGCCTTTCCTGATGAATCCCTGACTTTCAAAATGACCCCAAAGACATGGAGGGAGGAGAATAGTTTCAAAACCTAATGCTACACAAGTCTCCTTAGATGTGGATGGGAGGAAGGGAGGTGGTTTCTATTGGCCTGCTGCTCCTAGAATGCATTTGTTATGTCTCATTTGTCACTCATTAGGAAAAAGGCCTTTGGAAGCTTAGTTGCTCCTTGATAAGGAGATTCAGGGGGCAACAGTGTGTAAGAAAAAGTACTTAACTCTGCTTCAGTGTCTGTAGGGTCTGTATCTAGGAATATACAGACTGAAATGATTTAGGGAAATATGTTGCATCCAGATTGAACATACACAAACATTTTTCTGTGCTACAATTCCCTAAACAATATGCATTATAAGCCAGGCTTGTGCTGGTACACACCTTTAATCCTAGCACTCAGGAAGCAGAGGCAGGCGGCTCTTTGAGTTTGAGGCCAGCCTGGTCTACAGATTGAGTTCTAGGAAAGCCAGAGCTATACAGAGAAACCTGTCTTAAACCCAAACCCAAACCCAAACCCAAACCCAAACCCAAACCCAAACCCAAACCCAAACCCAAACCCAAACCCAAATCAAGACCAAAACCCAAAACCAATATCCATTACAAAACTTATCCAGAGTTGATTTAAAGACTATGGAAAGATGCATGGAGGTTAAGTACAAAATGCTGTGCCTTCCCATACAAGTAACCTGAGTTTCCGCAGAGATTGGTATTCATGGGGGTTGAGGAAGCAATCCCTTTTGGATACCAAGGGGCGATTATGAGTGCAGGATTCTAGAAAGAACTAGGAGAGGTTTGCACCTATAAAGTGCAGCCTGATAGTTATAGTGGGCATCAGAGAGTGTCAGACCCTAAAACCTTGTTTGTAAAAATCTTGCATTTGTCACATGGACAAATGGAATTGGGAAAGAAGGAGAGAAAGGTACGTGAACCTTTGATTGCAGCCTTGTGCCTCATGTATTTCTCTATGTGCACATGGGGAAAGCGAAGCCTCGATTTCTCGGAGAGAGATATGGTGGGAGAGATGAGACCAAATGCTGAGGCACCATACATCTTTAATTGGAAGGCTGCTCTGGAAATCTGAGGCATTGCCATATAGCTGTTCCTAGTACATTAAACTCTTAACTATGTGTGTCACCTTTGGGGATTCTCTGCAGCTCTTGAAAAATCCTGAGATACGCAAATGTCGATATGAATGAAGGATACATTTTCATCTCAACAACAAACAAAGCCACATGCATCCCCTTGCACCTCATGACCATCTAGTAACCAGAGATTGCAGATGTCCATCTCATGGTCATGATGCACTGTTTGTTACTGCAAAGAATTAGGGCCTGTTGATGATATGGGAGCAGGGAACAAACAGGACGAGACTAGGCCAAAGATGCTAGATAGCAGATTCAGGAGGAATCACCATCTGTGAGGGTCATGTCAAAGGATTTGGGAGTCAGCTTGAAGAGACACCTAATGATCACAGACTGGACTTTCTGACCATTAACAAGCATAAGGACTTCAATGGGTTGAAACATACTAGCTATATTTTAGTGCATGAGTTCAGAGTGGTATTTAAGAAAACATTCATTTGCTACCCTTGGAGGATAAGCCAACTCATTATACTGAAAACCAGTAAATAAGAGAAAGAATCACGTATTTGTCCTTTCTTTCTTGTGTGAACTGAAGCTCAAATAGCCAAGTAGTTAATGAGAAGTCACTTCTGTATGAATGTACTCCAGCTACTAGTTGAAGACTCAGTGACAGATTCAAAATGTCATTCTGTAATCCTTGGTGACCTCAGATATATAGAGACTGAGCAACCATGGCTCATGTCTTAAGAGACACCCACCCCCACCAGACTCCTCTTGGTAGAACAGCACAATGCCCTTTGGGTTGTATTGCCAAAGCGAAACAACAAACCTGGGCCAGAGAAAGACTCAGGATGCAACTATTCATTTGCCCAGGGTTAATCAGCCACTAGCACACAATTAGAAATTTTACAAGCAAACAACCCAATTTCTTCAAAGACTAAATTATAAGACACACACACACACACACACACGGAAAGTCAGATTAATTTAAAGAGAGACGTAGAAAGTGATATTAATTAAAATTAGTTTGCATCTTAAGAATTTTTTGGTTTGGGTGTGTATATGAGTGTGTGTGTGGGTGTGTTATGCCACCATGCTCATGTGGCAGGCAGTAGACAACAGGTGGGAGCTCTCTCCTTACACTCTGTGGGTTCCAGGGCGTAAACCAGGGTGCCCTTACTGTTGACCCATCTTTTGGCCCTGATTAAAATTTTCTTTTTACAAAGTCTAAAAAGAAAACAACCATTATTTGTATATTGTTTCAATCAGTTGAAGTATTAATATTTTATGATATTAAGGAGACAGCTGAAATTTTTCTTTCTCCTTCCTTCCTTCCTTCCTTCTTTCCTTCCTTCCTTCCTTCCTTCCTTCCTTCCTTCCTTCCTTCCTTCCTTCCTTCCTTCCTTCCTTCCTCCTTTTCTTTCTTTGTTATCTGTCTTTTGAGACAGGGGCTTGACAAATCTTGCTCAGGCTACCCTTAAACTAGTAAACCTCCTGTCTCTGACACCTGAGTGTTGCGATCACAGCTGGGTACTACCACAGCTGGCCACCAACGGAAATAATGGACAGTGATGGGCTGTTTGGTGACACCAAGAAACCATGGTTTTCAACAATAACTACATTGTTGGTATTGTTTCAGAGTGTTTTTAGACACATGTGTTGATATATTCCAGATTAAATAATGTGATTTCTGAAACTTTAGCAAAATATGTGATTCAGGAGAAGGGATTTGAGTATGAAGAAACATAATTCATCATGATCTGATAGCAGGAGCTGGAGAGTACAGAGTGGATTACCGTGTTCTACTTTGTGGTATTGGCTATTGATTTAAGATCGGCTAAACCAATAATGCTCTTTGTTAGCCAATATTTTTAGATTAAATGTACCAGGAACTCCAATAACTCTCCTGCTTTAGTTACTGACGTTACTGATTGATGAAGCCGGCTACTGGGGCTTATGCTGAGTTCTTGTAACCTGTTTGTTATATTGTCTTTGGGAAATTTAATCCCTGCCCCTTCAACCTCAGCAGTACCATGAAGTTTATGATAAGGTCTACTTGGGACTTTGAGTGGTTACCGAAGGATTTGTCACAGTGCTCTCTGCACAAAGTGTCTGCCTGATAAACACTGTCATTCCCAGAGAGCATTTCTGAGTTTTCTGGCTGCTTGCTTTGGTCATGTTGCTCGAAGTCCTTGAGAATCATAAGTGTGGGGGTGGAGAGGCTACAAGATGCTAGATCCAAATCACCAGTCAGCTACAAGTAGGAAGAAACGGGGCAGATACTAAAGCACAGCTCAAACTCTCCGAGGTACATTTTTCCTGAGGGTAAATAGCCCGAAAGGCAAAGGCTGGGAACATGCAGTTCCCTCTCAGTTCTCCTCAACCTTCAATTTTTTATTCTCGAGGTATGTTCACCACCATTGGCAAGCATACTCTCTGGATCATGAACCTGTCCCTGCCTGCCTCTTGATAGTCCTCTGCTTTGACCATCACATTCTAGCCATTGTCTCCCCTTGTGTCTGGAGTACCCCTTTTCTGATTCTTGCGTGGTTCCTATTGGTTATTCAAGTCTTCAACTAAACACCACTTCCTGAGAGCTTCCCCTGACTTGTCCATAGCTGCTCCTCCACTCAGTATGTGCCATTTATTATTATTTTTCTTTATTACTAGCCCTTATCACAGCTTCATGTTTCCTGATCCAGTCAGTCTCTCTCTTCTTGGTCTTCCATCGGAAGGTAAGGCCCTTGGAAGGGAGATCTTGTCTGTCTTACGGACCATTGTATCTTTATTTACTAGAAGAGTGCTTGGAATAGAAAGAAACACAACCAAAGCCATGAATAAAAAGTGGTTGAAACCAACACATACCAACAGCATCCGACAGCCCATAAACCCTTTGGCCATAAGCATCCGTCTTGTCCCAGATGAATGTGTAGGCCAGGTTGGGAGAAGCCTGGAATGACCTCTGGAAGAGATGCCCCTCTGCAGCGACCATCAAGTGAACCCTGATGAGGTTCAAGGGTACGGTGGACTGGGTCATCGTGATCTTCAGTAGCGACTTGTACCCTGCGGTTCTAGAGCTGAGATAACGGAGTTTCACATTGGAACCAGGGAGCTCAATTTCCTCGTGAAGAACCTGGAGGGGAAACACTGGGTTGGTCTACAACATCAAACACACCCTGGCAGGTGAGCTGTTTGCAAGCCAGTGCTGCTGTGAGCTGCCTCCCTCGTTGAAGCATCATCCCTAATGTGGGTGCATGGACCACTTCCCATGGCTGAGAGAGAAGAAAAGAAAACCAACCCAAACTTCATCCTACACCATGGAGTGAAGGGACTGAGGTTATGATTTTTGGATTAATAATTATTCTTGGTCACTGTAGCGTTTCTCTCAAAAAAGCCCCACACTGTTGGTAAAAGATGTAAATAAGAACAGCAGGCTTTATTGCTAGCTGCATGCAAGGAGGCCACGAGGGGCTGTAATTATATGAACCTGCAACTTTCCCTGACAATCGGTATAAAGCAACAGGGAGGCAGTAATGTAATATGCCCTCTGTTGTAACGCCAATGTAGATCATTAAAGCGCCTCTTATCATGTATCTCCGTGACTAACAGGAATAAAAAGCAATTTATAGGTGGGCTGCACATATGTATGTTGTTTTTATTTTATTAAAAGCTCTTGTGGCTGCCAAAGTCTTGAGCGACTATCTGCAAACATTCCAAATGTCCAGGAGGGACTCAAACTGTCACCTACAGAGGCTATAAATTCTACGTTCTGTTTCTCTCCTTAACTATTCATTTCTAGTACACCTGGGGAGACAGAGATGCTGGGAGAAAGTTGGCCAGCTGGGTTTAGTTTGGGAAGCATGGAGAGCCATTCACATGCTCTGGCACCTGTCCCTACCTGGGTCTCAGGCACAATGGGGTTCGCTGCTGGGGAAGCGCTGAAGAAGGTGGAGAGAGGGGAGGAGATGATGATTGGATCTGGCCGGACAAAGCCGCTGAGGTCACAGCTTGGGATGGAGTTCTCCTCGGTCTTCATTACCAGGGTATCCATGGCATAGAAGCTGTTCCACGGCAGCCACACTGTGCGCTCCTGGCTCATGAAAGGGGCTCGCTCAAAGTGAAGAGTCAAGGCAGCACCCCCATTGGCAATCAGGTCAAACCTGGAGATAGGTCAACAGGGTCATTAGCCTCCTTGCCTAAGAGCTGTGGGAAGGACAGAGATTGGTTGGTAGATGGGATGTCCTGCAACTTACTAGTTATGTGGCTCTAGGCAAGTTACCAACCCTCTCTGAGCCTGTCACATTCACCCACCATTCACCTCTCAAGTGGGAATAATGGCGTTGACCAGGAGAGTGTAACAAAGAAAGAACTTTGTGGATGAGGGAAGGATAGAGATACACTAAATCCAGCCTGCCACCTGTTTTGGGAAGTGGCAATTATGTGTGATTGGCACCCATTTGCTTATGTGTCCCCCATGGCTAGATTCCGGCCACAAGGACAGAGCTGAGTCATGGCCCCCGAAGCTACACAGTCAGTAGAGCCTAAATGCTTCACTAGCTGGCCCTTTGAAGAAAATGCTCCTTGATCCTGGAATAAAGCATTCAGTACTAAGACTGAGAGATGTGTTGGGCAGAAGAAGGGCTAACAGTCATAGGATGTAGGCAGGGCTCATAAGCACATGTTGCTAAACAAATTCTGCTCTGCGCTCAGAAGTGTAGGCAACCATACCCCTGTTTGTACCTCAAGAGCGGTGTGGAGATGTGCTGCTAAGTTAAGCTTAAAGTTAAGCTAAGGTAGCTAGCTCTCCTTGGTTTATGGAATGGGAGGAGGCTTGTGGAGAGATGCGCCCCAAGTTTAAGCTGCACTACACTGGACGGACTCTCCTGTGTGTCTGTCTTGCTCGCTCCAGAATCTCTACTGCTGCGTCATAGTAACATCTCAGTGAGGATATACTGAACGCAAATACACAGCACTGTGTGTTTCACCCTACTTTGGTTCCACGTCTCGCAATTTTTAGTGACACATAACGAATGACTAGGGTAAACAGGAATATTAAGGTACATATTGGAGCATGCAGAGAGCAACTGTTCACCTGCAGCTAATTTGTTTATCTGTTTGCTAGCTATTCATGATGCTGGAGACAGTTTTGCATTTGATACAGTAGGGAGTCAAAAGTTTTGAGGCACACCTGCAATCTGGGTAGTTGGCAAGCCGGGGTAATAGTATTTCTAGCTATAGGCAAGCCTGGGTTACACAGTGCGACCCTGTCTAAAACACCACCAACTGGCTCAAAACAATACTACTCCTGGCTGTTCATGGTGGCACAAAAGAATCAACATGAAAGTCAGTGGTTCATGCCACATCTCTAAGGCTCTGAAATTTCTAGGGTTATTGCAGATTTATCTTGACACTTGCTTTGCAGCCTGAGAGAGCTGAAGAGCTGGGACATGGGCCTGGAGAGATAATACGGGAGGTGGATTTGAGATGTAATTAGTCAGGAAGTATTTGAAGAGGGATGAGAGAAGAGAAGGAAGGGAGAGACAGGGGCCAAGAGACTCCAGAATGATTTCATATGTTGTCTAAAAGGACTTTTAATGAATTGGCTCAACCATGTTAACTCTTTAAGAGTATTGGCTCACACTTGTAACTCTAGCACCAGGGAGGCAGAGGTAGGAGGATTGTTGCAAGTTCAAGCTCAGTCTGTGCTATTCAGGAAGACCCTGCCTCAAAAATAAAAACACACAAAATAAGAACAATCGAATATAGTTCAGCAGTAGAACGATTTTTCTAGCATGTGTGAAGCCTGGCATTTGATCTCCTGCACCACAAAAGCCACACGTCCAAAACAAGCAAGCAAACAGATAGAAGCTCCTCAAATAAAAAAGCAAAAACTAAGGAAGAACGATGGTTTTAAGCCAGGCATGGTGGTACATGATTAATCTAACCTTCTAAGATGAGGAAGGAGAATTGTCACAGATTTGAGGCCAGCCTGGGCTATCTAGTAAGACCATTAAAAAAAAAAAATTCCTGGCCTCTAAGGGCGAAAAAGGGCCAAAGGCTCTCTGCCTAGGGCACAATTGCTATCCTAGTGCTTCCGTAGAATTTGGGGACAAAGTGCGTGCGTGAGACACCAGACATCTAACGAATGCGGATGATCTCACACTGATAATGATTAGACTGTTTTGCCGGCTTTCAATGGCACAAACGCAGCGCACATTCAGTGGTCAGTGGCTTTTGAATTGTCATCATTTCCTGGACAGTACAACAGTCTCTTGCAATTCACAGCAGCAGCAGTGAGCCCCCAATTCCCAGTGGGCCACACTACGCCAGGGTCATGCTGCAGAGTTCTGTGCTGTTCAGCTGGCGGGAATCTCATAGTGTGTTTATTAGGGTGATGAGCGATAGCATCACTCAGCGGTCGAGAGCTTCGGGGTAGGGACACGAGGGTGGCCTGCTGTGGACTGGTAATTTTCTTTTAACTGGCTGCATGGCTACCTTAAAACATTGAAAGGAGAGCTAGACTCTATTGGAGAGAGAGGGTTTTTTTTTTTGTTTGTTTGTTTTGTTTTTTCTCCATGAAGCCGCTATGACTTTCTAAAGTTTGATTTTTACAGAAAAACCTTCCATTAGATTTATAGTGACAGTTTCTATTTCTCTTTGGAAGAGAACATAGTGTGTGTGTGTGTGTGTGTGTGTGTGTGTGTGTGTGTGTGTGTGTGCTCAGTCCAGAGTGGGTATTTTCTCCTTTCTCTGGATGTCTTTTCTTTTTCTGTAACTTTTGACTCTATGCCCAGTGGATTTAGGAAGCCATGGAGCTTTCATCTTGGTGGGGACTGAACGGGTGCGGTGCGTGTTCCCAATCAGAAGATAATAGGGGAAGGTCGCCTCCTTCACACAGCAGGGTGACTGCTAAATGTACTTAATTAGACTTCTCTGATTACAGCCCACCCCCTCAAAACTGTAGCGAAAATAACACAACTCTTAAAGCCGCAGATGAAAGCAGAAGGGAAGCGCCGCAGGACACCGTGTCGTGTGGATTCCTGTCACCCTGCACTGCCTTTGATTTAAAATAGGAGTTAGCTTCTAAAAGCTACCTTCCCTTCCTTTTTCTAGAATCCTACAACCACGCTGGTTACAAAAGGAGTGGCAGTTACCTGCCAGGGAAAAAGAAGGGTGATGGCTGTCAGCCACCTTGGCACGTTGGCCTTTCTGTTTGTTTTCTGGTGAGAATGTCACTCTCACAGCTATGACATGTCTTTGGGGGAGTCTTCCCTAGAGATCTAGGCTGGTGGCCATTCCAGTGTACTAGAAGAAACTACTTGGTTCCAAGCCAACAAATACTATCATTCTTTTTGCATGCACATTTGGTACTTGGTACTGGGTAGGTACGGCTCCTACAATGCTACTTACGTGCCATCCTGGCGAGTGATGGTGTAGCCGTATTTTGGGTACTTGACAAAAGACACATTCACACCCACCAAGGGAGTGCCATCAGTAGTCACCACTTGGCCTCGGATCAGAGAAACCAGGCTGAGAGGGAGAAAAAGAAAACAGGGGTGTGTGAGACACACACATGGAAACAGAGATAAAAGGCTTGCTGTGTTTTTCTTTCCTCCTGTGGCTGCTTCCTTATTCTTGCCTGGTACCTAGACTGGGAGAAGACCTTCAACCCTGGATGCTGACTACACACTGGCATACCTCATAGAGAGGTGTGGGCAAAGGGGGATAGATATCTCAGTGCTTTATTTTGCCTAAGCATAAGAACAAGGGCATTCTGGGAAGAAATTCCCAGATAGTGATGCCTGGTCCCTGGGCTGAGCAGTGGAGCCTCCCAGGCACTTTCCTTTAGCCTTGGCCTTGCTCCATTGCTTGATGTCACTTGGCTTTGTTTGGCTTGAGCTTCAGGCTGCTCCTCATCACTCACGTGCGAGCCTTGGCCTGGCACATGGAGTATCATGCCTGGATGAGAGCTTCCCCATCTGGCTGCTCATTTCCTAATTTGGCTTTGGAGCAAGGCCATCTCACTGTTCTCCTAGAGGCTGGGATGCCAGGGAGTGCAGAGAAGCATGCAGAGGTTTGCTGTAAGTGTCCTCCCTGCCCACACCGCCATGTTTTGCTACCTACAAAGAGCAAATTTTCCTACAATCCACAAGAACGTTTTTGGGGCGGTAGTGGAGAAGTGGGAATATTTTGGAATCTGATTGCATTCAATTCCCTCCTATCACAATCCTGCTGTCTTGGGAGAAGACTGTCTGAAATCCCACCCTCCTCCTCTCTCTGGTGTCACATGATTCTTTTTTCTCGCTAGACAACAGTAACTAGAATTTTCCCAATAATCATGATTTCTAGCTCTCTGGAAAATCCTATAAATCCAGGAGGAGCTACAATGTGGCTTGACTTTGCTTTCCCTAAGATACTTAGGACCAGAAGTAGTTCTGTTGTTCTATTTTGGAATATCTGCATATCCATAATGAGCTATCTTGGGGATAAGACCCAAGTCTAAACATTCAATTCATGTATGTTTCATATACATCTTATAAATCTGCCCTGAAGGTAATTTGATACAGTATTTTTTAATAACTTTGTGAATAAGACAGTTTCATGGATGGGATTCTTTGCTTTAAGTGCCACGCCGCTGTGTGACAAGTGTTGGACTTTGGAGCATTTTGGATTTTTCCACATTAGGGATGCTCAGCCTTTGACCTAAACAAATCCTGAAGCTGGAGAAATGTGTGTTTCCTCTCCCAGAATTCTCTTGTCTTCATGAGGAAGTACGACCACCAGAAGCTCTGTATTTGCTCTAAGCTCTGAGCTGGAGCTAGTTTTTCAGCTCTCCCATTGGCCCCGGAGACAGGGGCTGGTTTGGTGAGCACAGACTGCTCTTGGGGATCCCAGGTTCCTGGGCACACTCCCAATTTCTGGACTAGGTAATCGAGCTGACCTGCTCTTTGCCAGAATCTTGTCAAAGATTTTTGGAATACGCTTCCTTTGCCATCCCAGGTGTCCTGAAAACTGAAGGGATGCTGTCTCCAAGCATTTCTTTCTATTAGCAATACCCCCCCACTGCTCAGCTCTAACCCTTTGATGAACTGGGGGTGTTCAGGCCGTTCCACCGACAGCTTTAATTGTCTGCCACTGGCTGCCTAACAAATGGATCCCACTTTTAGGTGGTTCCAACTACAGTGCTAGAGTCTTTTGAAAGTAGAAAACTAATTTATGAAAATACTCCTTTTGCTCAATCCTATTCTCTTAGCTCTAAGTAGGATTCCTTTAAGGCCTCACCAGACACTATTTTTAAAATCAATGGCTTATGTTGATGACCACAAACAAGGTACACAGCACTCGTGATCTGAAAACCAAATTAGGAGTATGTCCCACCATGTCTCTTCTCCCTTCTTTCCCCCAAAGCTGCTATTTCTTTTAAATCCACCCTACAGCATAAGGCTTTGTGGTGCTCTACAAGGAATGAAAGGGGTTTGACTGTCTGTGATTCTCCTCCCCTCCCCATCCGCCCCATTCTGTTTTTCCATTTCTCCATTGTTGCTGGCTTCCTATCGTTTCTAGGCAGCCGACTCGCAGAAAAGATTCAGCGAAGGCATGCTATCGGTTCATTTCTATTTATGATTATTGATGTGTAACAATTATCACATTATCTAGATAGTGAGGTCTGCTCCATAAATTATAGTGGTGGGGCCAGAGCATCTTAGTTATTTTTGTCTGCCATTATCTCGGGGAACGCCTTTGTAGAAGTCTTGAATTAAGTTCTTCTTTATTCCCGGCTCTGTCCTTCATTATTTGTCAGACGATAATGTACTGAGCTTCGCATGCTTACTGAACTTCGCCCCGTGTCTTGGAGAACTGTTTTGTCCTTCTGAATTATGTATCTGTACAGAGATGCTGGAGAGCGCTGCCTCATCAAACTCCCAAACAGCTTCTTCTAAAGTGACTCTCCTTCACTCAGATCTGTGTGCTGCTCCAGCCCACCACATATCTTTAGAGTGTCTGCTGACTCCACTGTATCTTGGCCCTCCCATAGGATGCTCCCCACAAATGGTGGCTCATGGTGGGAAGGTTAAGATGGTATCAGAAGGGGAAGAAAAATATGAAAAGGAGAGTGTTAGTAAATGACTGGCTGAGGATAGACACTGACATGCTAAGTAAAAAGAGCATGGAAGCAGACTGAGGTTATTAAAAACATTTACAGCCCAAGCAAGCTTACATGAACCTCACCAAGATGCTACAGTGGAGCATGTCAGTCACATGTCTTCTTGAGAAGAACTGTGTTCATAATCAAAAGGAAGCACACACAGGCACTGTCTCAGAGCCAAGATTAACAAGCAGGAAACACCTTTTCATTGTGGTCAGAGATTTGCGCCTGTTTCTCTTCCTTCCTCGCTCACTCCTTCCCTTCCCCCTTCTCTTTCTTTCTTTCTTCCTTTCTTTCTTTCTTTCTTTCTTTCTTTCTTTCTTTCTTTCTTTCTTTCTTTCTTTCTCCTTCCTTCCTTCCTTCCTTCCTTCCTTCCTTCCTTCCTTCCTTCCTTCCTTCCTTCCTTTCCTTTCTTCCCTCCCTCCCTCTCTTTTTCTCTCTTCTTTCTTTCTTTCTTTCTTTCTTTCTTTCTTTCTTTCTTTCTTTCTTTCTTTCTTTCTCGAGGCAGTCCTCTCTTAGGATAAATAGTGACATTACTACACATTCTATAGTAATATTATGCTTGTTTTGCTAATCAAGAAGACAAGATTATTGTGCCCAGCATGACTCAGGTAGGAAACATAATCTCAGAAGACTGAGATTATGATCTCTTCTATATTATCATTTATTTTATTGATTTCTGTTTAGTAAAACAGGACCTAAGGTGACCTGGTGAAGAACTCTCATCGTCAGAGGATCTGCCAAAGGCAATGTGTCATGGTACACAGCTGTAACCCCAGCACTTGGGCAGGAGAGACTGGACGGTTTCTTTGAGTTCATGGCCAGTCTGGCCTGTAGTCATGAAGTTCATGCTAGTCTGGGTTCCCTTCCTTCTGGTCCAGTCAGGGTTATAGAGTGAGTAAGACCCTTGAATCAGCACAGATGAATACATAAACAGACCAAGTTGCCCAAAACTGGGCTTGTGCAGCTTTGCAGAACGCTTCTGAGGCTTCTGAGTGGCTGCAGAACTGGCTGTGCCTCTGCCCAGCCTTTTGGGCTCTCAAAGGAGGGATGGGGACTTAGTCCCTTCCAGATGATGCCTGCTCCCTAGAGCTGAGTCAGGTGACTTCCAATAGAATCACCTGTGAAGTTAGAGGCTCCTGACCTTGCTGAGAGATGAAGTGGGGTGAACAGCCTATTTCCACGGGCACTTCTGAGCCTAGCTGAGTAAGAACAGAGGGCAGAAGAGCAAGGGTAGGTAGAGAGTGTTAGAGTTAGAGAGGGCAACATGTACTGTGTTCTAGTACAGAGCTGGGTTGAGTGGCTATGGAGAACCAAAACATAGTGCGTACTGGAAAGGGGTAAGATTTTAAGTGCTTTCAGTACAAAAAAGTGATAAATATTTAAGATGACAGATATATTAATTACCCTGTTCTGATCATTACACACAATGTACACATGAATCAGAATGTCACACTACATCCCGTTTTTAGTGCCAGTCAACAATAAAATAAGGGCTGGCTGAGAAGGTCAGCAGATAATGGTGCTTGCCACCAAGCCTGACCACCTGAGTTTGATCCTGGTACCAGTCTGCTTGTAGGAAAGAATCAACTCCCACAGTTGTCCTCTGAGCAGAAGGGAACACCATTGTCTTGCTCATACTCCCCAAATCTAGAGGCTGAGCGAAGGCTCAACCAATAAGCAGTTCTTATTATTTTTTTTTTCATGTGAAAGAGCAGAGAGATGGGGTAGGGTGCCCCCGAAAAGTCTATGCCAGCCTTTACAGCAGCGTATGCCTGGACCTCTGGATCTGTCCAGGGAGTCACCATCTCTGCTTTCTAAGGGCCCCTGCCCTGCTAGCCCCCCCTTTACAGTGTCTGGAGAACAGAAGGAGTGGGATGAGAGGGTGTCTTATGCTCAAACCTTCCCCTCTCCCTCTTCTCCGGAGGACAGGCCTGACTTGCTCTGGTGCGAATAAGGTGGCCAAGCTGACCACAAAATAAATTCAAAATGTGACCTCCCAAAATTCATAAACTCCAGATTACCAAATGAGAACAAAATTGGACTGGAAAGAATGCAGGCACTTGGAGAGAAATGCCTGGGCTCAGCCCCTTGGGCACTACGGGGCGTCTCACATGCGGGTTGTGTGAGCACCAGAGACAACATTCATAACACCATCCTAGGTGCTCAATAAATTCCTGGAACTGGCACTGCCGTGACTGTAAGATGCCATGAATGATAGGTTGTGTTACCAAGTTAATAACAGCTTTCAAAAACACTCCATTGAATTGACTATTTCAGTTATGCTCAAGCAAAAGCCTCCCTCTCAGAGGCATTAAAAAAGGGATTTAAACAATGGCAAAAATGTCCTACAGGAAAGGATCATAAAAAATAATCATCTCAAAACTCAGAATCCACAGGTGTCGTCGTGAGGCTGGGCTGCAGGTAGTCCAGTCTTGCAGAGCAGCCTCAACTCTAGTCTAGCATCTATAAATGAAGAAAACAACTTCAGGGAGCTGTGGTGGTTTCCAGGAAATGGGTCTACGGAAAAGACAGAGAACTTCCATTTGCTCTGATAGAAAATGGAGTGAGGATCTCAGTGGCCTACCTGCTGTTGAAGGGGTTGTCTCCGGGGATGATGTGGGTGCTGTCCTTGCCTGCCAAGAGCTTGATGCGATCATAGAAGGACTTCACTGCGGGCCAGTCTGTCTGGCCTTGCTGAATGATGTCCAAGGGGTCCCGAGACCCCCGACAGAGCAGGCTGTTCTGACAGGCTGATTGCAGGCAGCAGTCAGGATCCAGGCAGTCCACCAGGCCATCTGGAAGGGTGGAAACAGAGCCAGGGTCAGAGCACTGTATGGCACCAAGCCACTTGGAGATGCTGAGAGGTGCTAGCATGTTGGTCACCATCAAACCTTTCCATGGGCCTTAGACTGGCAGGTTTCACACAGCAGGCCTTATATAATTGCAGCTTCTCCGACCCGGAAAATAAACGATGGAAGAACACAGCTGAAAATACCAACAGTGGTTTCTCTGGTTTGGTCGTCTTGTTTTAATACGTTTTCCTAAAATTTCTTCTTCTTACTACTACGTGTAGATATTATTAGAACCATCAGGAATAAAACCCTGAGCTTTGCTTTTAAATAACACAGTATAAAAATTGCCCAGAGACTGTTTCCAAGGGCCTGTGCAGATGGGTATATATTCATTAAACAAGGTGTAAGGATTCTGTCAATCTTTCTTTCCTGGAGAAAACCATTCCAGCCCCCCTCCACCTAAGCCAGGAAGGGAACTCTCAGCAAGATGGAGAATCAGGTGCCATGAGTGTCACCTCTTCAAGGAGGTGTGGAAGTGGCTTTGTGTGGCAACTAGGAAGAGAAGTCACTTCTACTCTATCTTCCTGAGCAGGACACTGTCACTTAATTTTCCTAGATTCTCACTCTTTACCCTCTTTTTTGGGCTGCTCTTATTCACCAACCTACCGTGCTCCACACGTCGGAGGGCTGTCCACATGCTGGGAGCGGAACAGTAAGCACAGAGTCATTGCTCCTGTCTGGAAGGAGCGGGCAGTGCAAGAGAGAAACAGACAAGGTGACCCACCATATAAAGGTGAGTTTAGGGGTGCCATTTCTACTCAGGTCGTCCTCCTGATGGCACCTCTGGCTAGGTTAGTGTTATGCACTGTGCCCCACTCCCCATTTACCTGTTGAGATCCTAAACCATAGTAAGAAGGGGCTTTAGGATGGAACTAACCCCCCCTCCCCGAAGCTCATTAGCACGTACAGAGACCCTGCTGAGTCTCCCAGCCCTCTTTCTGCCCCCAGAGGACACTGAGAAGGAATTGGGCCATCGCCAGACACTTATATCCCCCAGAACTTTGACTCTGGATTCCCCAGTCCACAAGAAATAAATGTCTGCTGTGTAAGCCACACCCACCATAAGCCACACCCACTATGGTATTTTGTTATAATGACGCAAACTGATTGACTTTGCTCCTGCCCTATGCATCTTGGGTTCTCTAAGAATGGGTACAGGTTAGATGCCCACAGAAAAGGATCAAGGACCTGCCTCAGGCCTCCCCATTGACAGCCTCCAGGAGGAGATTCTGGAATCTGTACTCTAACCGGGATTCTCAGGTGACTGCAATGCATAATATATTTTAGAACCATTGCTGATGACGCTAACTTCCTTGCGCTGGAATTAATTATGTCTTTATGCTTGCCTCCCTATGGGGAAAAGAACTCTGTGAAAGATGAACAGGGCCTTATTAACGTCTACATTTATGCCCTCACTCAGTGTCCTGCAGAGAACAGGATACTTAACAAGTGTTTGTTGAATGAGTAAATGACTACTTCCTGTTCTTCACATGTCAGAGAAGGCTCAGGATCAGAATGTTCAGGGCAGTGTTTTTTTTTTTTTTTTTTTTTTTTTTAATTCCTTATCAGAGTGAGGTTTTTTTTTTTTTTGTTTGTTTGTTTGAGCACGTGGTAGAAGAGCTTGAGAATGACTTAGCTGATTCCTTTTGGATTTGATAGCAAGGCATTTGGAGGAGAGGTGGAGGAGGGAATAATTAGCATTATGGAAGTGTGCTGTCCAATCCTGGGCTGGGCCATGACAAACACTTGTCCAGGACTGCTGAATCAGAGGCCTGGCTGCAGGCTTTTAAATTTACAACAATGTGTGTGTGTGTGTGTGTGTGTGTGTGTGTGTGTGTGTGTGTGTGT